TTCTCCTTTTGTTTAGGTATTGTGTTTATATAGTTCATTCAGAAACATATTGTATAATGTACTACAGATTATAGATAATTACCTATGATAGTCAAAGCTTAGAGTTAAGTTAGTTAGGTTTTTCAAGATACACAGAGATGTATTTGAGATAGGTAGGCATTCTTCAAACCTTTCAAAGACCTACAGAATATGGCATTTAAAATGGATTAGGGTTTTCGTGACAGTGAGACATAATTGCTCTTGGCAATACCACCTGCAACAGAAAGGAAGATGGACATTGAAGAAACTCGTTATGGAGTTTGCTTTCAATATGGCAAAACTAGCCATGTGGACAAGATACTGCTCTTGTCTGGACTGTTTGACTTTGTGCTATATAAACTGGACATGCAGTACCCATAAAAAAGTGATTGCTGATTCAAGATGGACATTGCTATAGAGTTCCTGCTTCATGGAAGAGTCTGCCAGACAGTCTGCAGGACACAGAGGAAAGTGACTGACAAACTGCCAATACAAGAAGACAGTTTAAAGTTTCCTGCTTTGCTGAAGAGTCTGGCAGACACACTATGGCCTATGGGCTGAAGATAGATTACAGAAGAACGTCAGGTGACTGACAAAGGCAAGATGTCTCTGTCATTTGTAGAGTTTATATATTATCCTTCTGTGGTCTTTGAAGGAGTTAAAGACTGATAGTTATGGTTATAGTTTTCCTTAGTATTAAAGATAAGTTACATAGACTTTAGACACACAAAGATAGGATAGATGATGAAATATTTTCTTCAAATCTTGCTAAATGTTAATGGACTAAATAGTGTTAACTGTGATTCTTATTTGATAATTGTTATGTGATATATTTTGCTATGTTAAGGTTAAAACCCTTGTTTTTATTTAGACAGAAAAGAGGAGATGATGGGAGATGTCATTCTGTATATGTTTCTCATACTGGTTAATAATAAAGCACTGTTGGCCAATAGGAAAGGAAGATAGGAGGGACTAGGAGACAAGGAGGAAATAGGAAGTAGTAAGGAGAGTCAAGATGGAGAGTCTGAAGAAAGCAGTATGCCGCCGGCTCCCCGGTAAGAGAAATACATAGATCAGCAGAAATGGGTTAATAATTAAGACAGAGCTAGCCAATAAAAAACAAGTAACCAGGCCAACAGTATTGTATCGAATACAGAGTCTCTGTGTAGTATTTGGGGCTGGTGGCATGGCGGCGGGACAAGACCAGCGGCGGCAGGCGGAAAAACCATACTCCTTACACTAGTTCAAGTTCACTAATTGTATTTGCTTATAAAACATAAAATTTCAATAACATCTTTTATTAGGATTTTAAGAGACAACTCCAATGGCTGAGACTTCTACAAAAGTACTCAGCTTATTACATTCCTCTCTTAATGGACTCTCTAGATTAAAAATAAGTACATTTCCATGGTTTCATGTCAATCTGTATTTTAATCATTCCTTTTTTCTAAGGGTTCTCAGACTCTACAGTTAGTTCTATTAGTACCACCTTTCCTTTCCATACCCCAACACTTACACAATTTTAATGAATGATGGCTGGTAAGGCAGCTCAGTGAGTAATCACTCTGAAGACTGTTAGATTCCCAGGACTCACAAGGTAGAAGGAGAGAACTAACTCTTCTAAGTTGTCCTCTGGCCTCCCCAAGTATGGCATTGCATTCACATGCCCAAATTTATACACACACATGCATGCATGTGCACACACAAATAAAAAACTAAAAATGTAATTTGTATAAAAATTTACAAATAAATACCCTCCTCTTATACCTTTTTTAAACTACAACCTGTCTTTATCAACTCCCTTGTAGACAACTTCTCTCCAACTAAATTCCCTCATCATCCAAAGGAGAGAGTCAGCTCTGTCCCCACACTATACTCCTACTCCAGTGGTACATCATGTCCATCATTACCATTAAGCTACTTCCTCTTTAGGTCCATATCATTAGCAACTTCTCCTCTTTCTCAGGGCCACCTTTCCCAGTTTCAAGCTCTTTCATAAAGTCAGTGCCTACTTTATGTTTCCACAAATTAACTATACACTGCCATTAGCTTCACCATCTCTGCAGATCCTGAAACCAGCAGAGACCTGTTACAAAATAAAAATGAACTTTCTCTTCAGGATGTTAAGTCTAAAACAACAGTAAGGCACCAAATGGTAATACTCAGCAAGAAATACATATGAATCTGACAACAAGAAGTAGTTAAGGAGCGGATCATTGGGTTTCTGTCACTTTAGACTACCAAATATCACCAACTGGAATCCTTCAAAGTGAGTTCACAAGTTCGTATTTTAATTTTAACTGAAAACTACTTCTAAGCAATCTTTTTAATCTTTCTTTGCTGATGGGTTAGTTTAATGAACTCCAGTCTCTGAGCACCAGACTCCTAGAGAGTTACACAATTAATTACAGCTTGGGTACCAAGTCACACAGTATATAAAGACTATCTCCCATATATGTGTATTAAACATTGTACAGTGTTGTGATTAGTAAAACAGTCTTGTAAGAGAATATTAGGCTTTTTACTAACATACATTTTCTCAATTACCAGATACTAAAAATATAACTATAGTCCTAATGGGATTCATCAACTGCTTTAAAGGAATGGTATCTTCCAAATATCAAGACCTACTACCAGAAAGTATTCCCTACAGCATTTATCGTTTCCACACTGTTTCCATTTTTCTCTTTCCAATTCACTTGTACTTTCCCAAGAAAAATCATACACAAGCTTACACTGTTCCCTCATTCTTCAATCCACCAGAATGTATACCTTTCTTTTTTACCTCTATAAATATTAGAAGATTTTAATAACATATAGCAGACAGTCTCATCTTACAAAACCTCCCTGATCTAGCAAACAGGTTTAGTCTCTAAGTTTCTGCCTAAAAATATTATCATTTCTCCCATATTCAGACAGAACTTCATTTGATTCTGTTGCTTAACTACTATCCTTTTTTCTTAATTATTATTATTCTTGCTGCCGAATTCTGAGGCTTATCAAACTATGTCCACTTGTCTTCTAAGTAAGATCCTATGGGAACAGTCACCCTCACATCTTTTTTTTTTTTTTTTTTTTTTTTTTTTAAAGAGAGGGCCTCATGTATTTGAGGCTGGCTTCAAACTTGCTATATAACTATGGCTGACCTTGAAATCCTGGCCTTCCTGCTTCCACCTCCCAAGTATCAGGACTACAGGTGTTACATTTCCACAACTGGTTTATATGGTATTGGTGATCAAATCCAGGCCTTGACATATGCTAGACTTGAACTCTAACAAATGAACTAGATCTTCAGCCCTTATTTCTTCAACTACACAAGTCAATTTCCCAACAAAAAGTTGAATAGTCAAGAAATATTATAGCCTGGAAGCAATATTGTCTGATTCCTTAAAAAGGAAAAGAAAAAAAAGTTGGCTACTTCTTGGGGATCCAAGCATGATTTATACTGAATACCATCATTTTTTTTTCAGAAAATAGTAGGAAGGCACTAAAGGTCTTAAAATACCAGCCAAGTTCCCTGAGTCATAGGACCTCTCAAGAATACTAACGTGCAGGGCAGATTAAAAGAAGACCATTTGGGAATCAACTGTAAAAGACATCAAAGGGCACAAAGGGAGGGAAACGAAGGGAACTTTTAAGAAGAATACCTACTGATATCAAACAACTACACTGAGGGAACAAAACACCAAAACTTTCGCTTCAAAAATGTGGTGCTTACATTATTTGTAATAACTAGATCTTAGAAACAGCCTAGAAGGCCCTCAACTGAAGTACACAATGGTATATTATGAAGCGGCAATAATGACATCCTAATTCACAGGCAAATGGGCAGAACTAGAAAAATCCATCCTAAGTGAGGTAACCTAAAACCAGAAAGACAAATATAGTATATATTCACTCATAAGTGGATACCAGACATAAAACAAAAGATACCCAGCCTATAATCCATAACCCCAGAGACGCTTGAACCCTCTTCCAGAAACAGATGGAAGCAGATGCAGAAATCCACAACTAACCATTGGGCCAAGCTCCTGGAGTACAATCAAAGTGAGGGAGGAGCAAAACTATGAACAAAGGAGTCAAAACCATGATGGGGAAACCCAAAGAATCAGCTGACCCAAGCTAATGAAAGATCACTGACTCAGGTCTGAAAAATGGGGAACCTGCGTAAGACCAAACTAGATACCCTTAATATAGGTGACAATGGTGTGACTGGGACAATATATGAGGCCACTGGCAATGGATCCAAGATCTAACACTAAAACACAAAAACTGACTTAGTGGAGCCCATTCTATATGGAGAGATACCTTGCTCAGCCTCAACTAGATGATGGGACAGACTTAAACTTCCTAGGGGAGGCCTTAACCTCTCCATAGAGCAGATGAGAGGGGGAGTGAGAGGGGATAAGAAGAGAGAAGGGAGGGGGGACTGGGATTGGAATGTAAAAAAGAAATAAAAATTTAAAAAATTTTAAAATAAGGAATGTGATGCTTGAAATTTGCATTTTCTCCTACAATCTAGTGTCCCACCTCCTGTCTTACTGGATCTGGAGTTTCTGAAATACAAATCCCTGTACTAGGCATTCCAGGAGCTTGCTATCTGGCTAACTCCTGGATAAGCAAACCACTTAAGAGACAGTTCCAACAGAGTTAGCCAAATAAGAGCACAAAGCCAAGTAGATGGAGTGCTCACCTGTGTCAACAGAGAAAAGAATTAAGATTTTGGTCAAAAGTGACTCGGGGTAATCATAGAATGCTATGAATCTGCTTATAGTTGAAGCAGTTTCCTTGATAATCTAATACATCCTTTATCATGTTCAGACAAAGCACCACTAGAATGGCCTCTGGTAGTAGCCTCATGAGAAACAAGACCAAAAAATGAGAAATGAAATGGATCAGATCCTACTGGTCTTTTATCAAGGAAAAGCAGTACTCCTTTAATAAAGATGGTAGTACTTTCCAAAATAGCCAATGATACTTACCTTCAGCATCAGTGTTCTCACATCCCACAAGGTTGAGAAGGATGTCATTGTCTTTATCATCTCCTCCCTCACATCCCAGTAGCATCCAGCTTTCCACGTTTTCATTCTCTGAAATGGTACTTTCTTCCTCCTCATTTGAACTGACCTCTATGATCATGACCTCTCGGATCACGCTTGATCTCTCTTCAGGTTCAGGCTTCTCTTTATCTCTCTTGCGTTTCTTAGCCAATTTATTAGAACGAGGAGAAGCAGGACTTTGGCTCTTTTCTTGTGCTTGGACTTTAATATTTTTTCTTTTACACCTATAAATACTATCTTCATCAGATAATGTGATGACCTCTGATGTATCTGACAGCTGGATGACCTCACTATCTGAAAGAATGATTAAGTTCTTCTGGTTTGGTTCGATGCCTGCTGTTTGAGACTCCTCACAGTTCTTTTCCTCACACCCTTCTTCCTTGTTGTCAGTATGCAGATTCTGAGCATAATGAACTTGGCTGTAGAGCTGAAACTCCACCTCACTATCAACACTCAGTTCACTAGATGAGTCGTCACGGTAAAGATCATCTTCATATGCTTCTACAGTCTCATAGCCACCAAACATTATGGAAAGTCAGTCGCCTTAATGCTGTAAGACAGAAAGTCATACCAGAAGTATTTTAAAAGCTAAGATCTGTTTAGTTGGTGCCTATCACCCCAGAGCTGACTCTGAAGACCACCATCCCCCCCCCAACATATTAAAATGTTTTTTTTTTCCCTTGCTTTTCTACAAATTTATAAACCCTGTTATCATCCTCTAGAGCAGTGGTTCTCAACCTTCCTAACACTGCAACCCTTTAATACAGTTCTTCATGTTGTGGATGACCCCCAAACATTATATCATTACTACTTCATAACAGCAATTTTGCTACTGTTATGAATCATATTATAAATATCTGATATGCAGGATATCTGATATGTGATCCCTGTGAAAAAGTCATTCTAATCCACAGGTTGAGAACCTCTGTACTAAAATGATACTCAGCCCTCTCAAGTAAGATTACCACCAACAAACAGAACTGTATCCATGCAGATATCCTAAAAGTATACTGGAAAAGAAAATAGTTTGAGATCCACTGTTAGACAGTGAACATTTGTTCTCTAAAATGTTAAGACTCCTAAAAGAAACTTTTCATTCTTATTCTTTTCTTTCTTTTCTTTTTTTTAATGGTGTCTTGTTATACAGAAACCAGGCTGACTGTGAACTTAAAGTGACTCACCCATCTGAGTATTGGAATTAAAGTGTGCCAATTGCCTAGCTCTATTAAGTCTGTCTGTCTGTCTGTCTGCCTGCCTCCTTCCTTCCTTCTTTCTTTCTTTCTAGAGACAGGGTTTCTTTGTGTAGCCCTCACTCTGTAGACCAGGATGGTCTTGAACTCTGAGATCTGCCTGTCTCTACTTCCCGAGTGCTGGGATTAAAGTGTGTCACAACTACCTGGCAACTTTCTTTTTTTTTTTAAAGAAAAGCAGAGAAACTTATTTATGCTGCAAAAAGAACAGCAGGCATAGCAGTAACAGAAGACCTGCCTTCACTCCACCCCCCTTTCATTCTGTGTCACTCCTGTTCAGGTATACCTTCTCATACAAGAATATTATAGTATGACTAAACTTCACAACAGGAAACCCTTCACATTTACTGAGTGTGTTTGTTCTCAATTTCAAAACAGATGAGAAAGTAGCTCAGAAGTAAAATAACCCTGGATTTGATCCCCAATACTGAAGTACTATTACTCCTAATAATAACGATAATATCAATCCTGTGGACTTCAGATCTCTGGCCAAAAGAATGCACAAAAGACTTTGATAATGCATTTGTTCCTGTGTTGGTTATAAAATGCACTTGAGCTGGAAGGGGGCAGCAGCAACAGCAGCGGTGGCAGCACACACCTTCAATCCCAGAGCTCAGGAGGCAGAAGCAGAAGCAAGTGGATCTTTGTGAATTTGAGGCCAGTCTGGTCTACAGAGCCAGTTCCAGGACAGGTGCCAAAACTACAGAGAACCCTTGTCTGGAAAAATGAAACAAAACAAAACAAAACAAAAAAAAAAGCATTTAAAACAAAATTTCCTAAGTACCTAAAATTGAGACCCCCCCCAAAAAAGCATAGTTTTGGGAATAAATGTCTAAAAAAATTTTCTGCTGTGCATATATAAAATCCTATGCATCTTTCAACTCAGCATTAACAGTACTTTCCACCAGAAGGAATTAAGTGCCCTATTTCATAGGCTTCCACAGTACTTTATAAGACATTCACATTTTTAATTACATATTCAATGTAAATATCCCAGGAGTACAAATCACAAATCCCAGGAGTATAGGGATCCTGTGCACTTTGTTAAACAATAGATCACAATAGCCAAGCAGGGCAGCTAGTATTTGGAGATATTTATAAATATTTGAAAACATGAATTCTATCATTAAGCCCTTGTCCTTTAGACACACACACACACCAAAAAAAGGGACCTGACATGTGCCAAGAATACAGAAACTGTGACAGGATAATTTCTCAGTTAATCCAAAGATTAACCAACAATCTACACAGTAAATCAGATTGTGGTGGCACAAGCCTTTATTACTAGCACTTGGGAGGCAGAGGCAGGTGGATCTCTGTGAGTTAGAGGCCAGAGACCAGCCTGATCTACAAAGAGATTTCCAAGACAGCCAAGACTGTTACATAGAGAAACCCTATCTCAAAATAAAGAAAAAAACAATCTACACAATAGGTCTCAATTATCTACCAATGGAATGCTGGTCAACATACTAGCTCTGGGGAAAGTAACCAACCTTGTCTAAGAACCCTAAAAGAACATAACAATGCCAACTTATTCTTCCTTCCACCTTTAGCTTCACAGACACAATTAAGAGAAAGTGGTTGTTTTTGTAGGTTTGAATTTCTGCCAGAACATCAAGGTGTTATGTCTACTTTGCTAACAGAACCAGCAGACCCCAAGAATCTAAGAAGCAAAAATGCATTACACTCAAGCAAGTTTGGGTGCTGTTTTCCAGAAACAATGAACTCCATTTTGGTATAATTCCAGCACTTCTCGATGGAAGCAAGAGGGTAAGGAATTCAAGGCCACCCTCAACTACAAAGCAAACTCCAAGATCAGTTTTAGCTATGGGACCCTATTTAGAAAAAAACAAGAAAGAACAAAACAAATCATTATCTATTTTTTCTCTTTTAAAGAATACAGTATACTGTTCCCTCCTTGTAACTAACTATCTTTCAGGTTGCTATGCTGTTATTGTCACACAAGTTGAATGTGGCTGTCTGAATAATAATGCTATGACATTTATCGGTTTATATTGAAATGTTAGCCTCAGAGGAATTCAAATGAAAGATGAGTTCTTTCCTTTTTTATTTAATAGGTAAATTAATTCTAAAAGAAGTCAAAGGAATTATGCTTCCTTCAAAATCCTCAGTGGATCCATCCTGAGGATCCAGTGTGGACTTAAGATAAAACCTAATTCCAGGGCTGCACAGAAAAAAATTAAAGAGCTAAATTACAGAGTTACAAATTTGTACTACTCTTGGAGCCATCCCAAAGGAAAGGGATTAAGAATAGAGCCATAGGCACACCTGTGAATGTATGCCAAAAATAAAACTACAGAGCCATAATAAGAACTGACTTCTTTGGGTCTAAGGATTTATCTCTTCCCATGAAATGTAGAAAAATGAATTTAACAATTTAGCCTGTATGGCTGTTAAGAGGATTTTGTACCTTCTGTACTTGAAAATTGTGTTCTAGCATAACATGCTCTCTTCTATTTATGTAGTATGTATGCCAGAGTTACAGTTTGCCTCAAGCTGTTTTATTACATCTTTAATTATAATCAATTCACTTAGTTTTTTAAAAGTATACTTAGATATGAGTATAATGTATATATGCATATATTTATATACACATCCCTTGATTCAGAAGGTTTTCATAGCTTCTATTCATTTTGACTCCCAGCAGATTTACTAGGTAACATAACATGTTTATTATGACAAACATTTAAATCTAGAAGGTACCTGTTGGAATACTTCACATAGCCCCCTTTATATAAATATGAAGAAACAAATCCTAAGACATGATGAGACCTACCCAAAGCTGGACAGTTAGTTAAGAACACAGCCAGGATCATTCACATGTTCTTGACTCTAATGCAAGTATCACTAAGATTTTAAAACACAAATTTTAAATAAATAAATTCAAATAAATATTCCATTATGTGCACTGGTTCTAACACCATTTATTTCCATTTACTTCCCACAGGAATAACCCTTGAAAGACATTTTAATTAGGAGAAGTAGAAATTAAAACTTATAGGTTTACTATCTCTAAGAACCTCCTCAACTGGCACTCAAAAAACTTTATCAAAGCCCCATGTGGTGGTACACAGGGGCACAAAGTAATCCTGGTATTTGGGAGATGGAGGCAGAAAGATAGAGAGTTCAAGACAAGTCTTGGCTACTTAGTAAAGTCAGTTTGGGCTACAAGACATCCTGTCTCAACCCCTCTGTAACCCATCCCCCAAAAGTAAATAAACAAAATACTTTATCAAAGCACTGTGACTACAGAAGTCTAATCATATTTTAAAATCTGAAATATCAAGTGGGAATGAGGCTTAACTAAAGAAATAACATTAAACCATTCACTGTAATAAAAAGGGGGGGCATATTCAGTCAATGAATTTCTTTAAGCTAGACAAAGGTTACATTTTCAGAATTTACTAAAATGGTAATGGGAATATGTCTCCCTAGAAGTTTATCTACTGGTCATTCTGGACAGTTTGCTCTTAATTTCCTTCCAAAGTATTTCTAGTTTAGATCTTCTTTCTGGATGCCATAGGCATAGATTTAAATCCAGGATTTGGCTTTAATCATTTTGTGGTACTGGTGATTGTATCCAGGGTTATGAGTATGCTGGGCCAGTGCTCTACCTGAAGCTGGGCACCTGCTCCACAGTTGGATTTTTAAATCCAGAGTTATCAATGAATAATCTGATTAATACATAGTTTATTCTCAATTTAGGTTCATGAATACAAGAATCTTAGTATGCTACTGAAAATGACAATAGAAACAAAATCACAAGAGTTAAAATTTCTGCCCATTTTTCAAATGTTAGACTATCACTTCCCAATTAAACAAGGTTAAGAATCCAAATATGTCACATCAAAGAACAACCACGTCTCCGTAGAAGAAAAGTATGCTAAATTTACTTAGGTTAACTTCCGAGTACTCCTGGAACCCTATCTGGAAACAATATCTTTCCCTATTAGCTGCTGTCCTTTTCCCATGCAGTTAACCTTGTAGCTATCATACAATTGTCATTTCTAATTCTTTCTCAGTTCAATACCCATCCTCTGATTGCCTTGAATGACAATACTAAACTGACCCCAAAACATAACATTGTCTTAAATATACACGTTTCAGTTTAAGGTTCAAATGTTCAAAACGAAGGCAAGAGCTTTTTAAAAGAGCCTAGTCATTAAATTAAGGATGGTTTTATACTTGGGGAATACAGGCTCAAAGAAAATGGGCTAAAAGGCTCTGAAATTTTCCTTCATTCAACCCTGAAGTCACGGCAGGCAAACTCTGGCCTAAAGGTATTTTGAGCGTCAGCAGCTTATCAGTGATGGCTGGAACTCAGGCCTGACAACTCCCCACCATGGTTTTCCCACTGTAAAGGCAGCTCTTGCCTAAAGTTGACTACAACTGCCTGTTGTTGGGGTGTGAGAGTAAAGGGTTATCTTGTGAAAGATTCTCTGCTGTTACTGGTTTTATAGAGGAATGGGGCACAGTTCCCAGATTCTTTGTGGTCCACTCCTGCAGCGACTACCTGACAACACAAGCTTAGAGGGAGACCCCGGACTGGGCGCACCCTTGAGCGCCAGGCTCCGGGCGGCGAAAAGAGGCCTCCACGTTTACGGACAGAGGAATCACGGGAAGCGGCGGGGTAAAGCAGACAGAAAAGAAGTGCCCGTGAAGGCCATCGTCGCCCAGCCTTTCCCAAGCCCGGGACTCAGGCCAGGGGAGCGGCGAAAGCCAAGCTCCACCGCTGAGCCGCGTGGGGCAGCGCGTAGCTGAGAGGCCATTAGCTGCGCAGCGCTGCGCCACGCAGGACGGGGAGGCGAAGGCCAGGGAGGGGCACACATTAGTTCCACAGGCCCGCGGGCGAGGCGGAGGGGGGGCAGGGGTCCCCGATCGAGGACCGCTCGGGGTCCGTCACACACATACTCACTCCCGCGGCTGCGACCAGGAAGCACCAACCAGGAACCGAAACACGTAGAGGAACGGGGAGGGGCGAAGACAAATGAGGTAAGGAAGCCGCGTCCGCGCGGACTTCAGAGGTGAGGAGGCACTTCCGGGGAAAACACAGCTGTGAGGAGCTGTCCTTCCGCCCAACCCGCGAGTCCTCCGAGCGCATGCGTAGCAACTATTAACCCTTTGTCTCCTCTGCCTGTAAACTTTAAGTTTGGCTCTGTTCCTTTTTCTTTATGTTTTATTTCGAAAAATATCTTGGATGAAAGAAATTATGTTTCTTATTTTAACTTATTGAGTTAAACAGAAGAGATGACCCTTGCAGGGCAAAAGTGTGAACTCACTTTCGAAGGGCATGAAAAAACTACAATTCCCACGATACCTTGGGCGGATCAATAGGGGCCGCCTCTTTTCTAGCGCTGGGTGACGCCCTGGTAGTAGCACGTGGCGCAGAGCAGATCTGGAACCTTTTTGGGTTGAGGTTTGGGTCAGTAGAAGATTCAGGCTTGGTAGGTGGCTTCGGAGAGGGATCCTGGGAACTCCAGCATGGAAGAAGGCTTTTTAAAAAATGTCTGGCTTTTGTTTTTGTCGTACGCTACCCCCCCATGTGACAGGTGACCTCAGGGTTTTAACACACCAAGTGCACCCTGTGGTGCTCCCGCCTTTTTAACCCTTGTGAACCTTGAAGAGCCGCACTTCTTCAAAGTGGAGTCAGTGGTTTTCTTTCTGGATACTACTTGACAGTGTTCGCCTCTTCCAGCACTGATTCCCTTGGCCACACATTTAAAACACGTTTATTTATGGGACTGGAGATGTAGTTCTTCTGGTAGAGTGCTCGCTTACCGTGTTGGAGGCTCTGCATTCATTCCTCAACGCCACTTAGATCTGTGTAGTGATAAGCTTGTAACCCTAGCACTCAGGAGGCAGCAAAATATAAAAGAGTTCAAGTTCATCCTTGACTACAGAAAGCATTCAAAGACAGCCTGAGCTGTCTCAAAATAAAACAAAACCTGACAACAACAAAAACCAGCCAAGTCCATCTATGCAACTTTACAGATAACCAATTGATTAGGTACTGACAATATCTGGTAAATGAGTGTGACTTTAAGTCTTTTTGCTAACTTTCATTGAATATATTAAGAACCAAACTGTCAGCCGTCTACATTATTAGAAAAGTAAGCCTACATTTACTTAAGCTTGAAAAAAAGTTGGGTGGGGGGTACAGGAAAAAGTCAGGCTATGCTTGAAAGTTCAGGAAAAAGTGGAAACATTTAAAGGTCTTGTTATAGTATTAGGAATTTGACAGGGAAAATAATTAGAAAAACTGATTAATGTTATGGTTAAGTGCCAGGAAGGAAAAGCACAAGACAGTATGATAAGGCAAATTGGAAAACCTATTTGGGAGATAAGCAAAGTGGCATAGAAGTGGGTCACAGATGTCTGAACTGTTCAGGGAATGTGTAAAGGAAGACCGTGTGTATTGTTGTTAAATACTGAATTTTTATCAAGTGACATATTGTTTGTCATCTCTTTCATAGTTGAGAACTTTTGAGGTTGTGTTATTTATTTGCATGTTAGTTTTTGAGACGAGGTCCCACTGCAAAGCTCAGTCTACCCTTGAACTCATGTACTGGGATTACAAACCTGTGCCAAATAACATAGCTCTGACTTTTATTGTTATTTGTGTTCGATGGTTTTTTGAGAAAAAGTCTATTATGTAGTCATGGCTGTTCTAGAACTCTCTATGTAGACCAGGCAAGCCTTGAACTTAGAGATCTGCTTCTGAGTGCCAAGATTAAAGGCTTGTGCCACCATGCTCGGTAATTATTTTTATTATTAGTGTTACTATTCTCAATTTACAAAAAAATAAAATAAGAAGTTTACAGCTTGAAGGAATCTCCCTCAAACTCAAAAGCTAAGATGATAGGGACAACTATACAACAAAATCAATGGCTCTCGATACTCTGGCAGCAGCCTACACCATTATTGAAGTAGAGACAAAACAGAGATAACTCAGGTAACCCATTCTAAATTCTCTAAGATTTACATACCAAATTTGATCTCTGTCTGATTCTGCAGGAGATGTAGTAGCATCTCCTCTTCCAGATGCCCATGTCACAATTTTATCTCCAAGATCAGACCCTCTCATTACATTGATCTCTGGATAGACAGGGTCTATGTCCCCATTCAAAGTAGTAGCAACAACAACAACAAATGGCTCTACAGCCATCATCAGCAGTTCTATCTCTGAGGCAAGGCAGAAAGACAGAAAAGGAAGAGTACACAGGAAGGGAAAGGAGTATCTTATTCCAGAATCTGGTTGATGCCCCTTGTTGGACCAGAGTCAAAAATTCCATCATAGCAATTATTGTGACATTTGCCTCTTTTTTGCAGAGATATTTCAGATAAGATTGTTAAAATAGCAGTGGGCCATGCTTAAAGCTTGAAGGCATACGATCTTGTGGATGGCCTAACTCCTTTCCCAGATGTTTTCTAGAAATCTCACCAAGAAGACTAAACTTTTGTTGACCATAAAAAAAAAAAAAAAAAAAAAAAAAAAAAAAAATCCATCCCCCATTGAACTCAGTGTTTTACTTAGCGGCTGTACGCCGCTATACTCTTCTGCAACATACATAAAAACCCACACCATGGTCTCATTTAAGCTCAGTAACTCTGAGATATAGCTCCAGAACTCACCACCCTCTTGGGTATGTTCTCTCTTTCTCATAAGTGCCTCTCTATTAACCCCATGCATACTTACATCAATATTTAAAGCTCTTTTTAGGAAGCTCCAATTCTGCTTTTATAACAAAAAAATGACAAGAGTTCATGGATGGAGATATTTCTAAGAGAATAATGTATATGTGTATATGTACCTGTGTATGTACATACACAAACACATACATTATGTAGTAAGTTCTCATTTAGAAGCTCTTCAGAAATCATGAGCTCCAGCTCAATTTCAGTGATTTAGAAACTGAGCCAAGAAAGAAGAAATTTCCCAAGAGTCAGCAGAGACAGAGCTGGGTCTGGAATCCAGGTCTTGGTTATATGAATCTGCTACAGCTAAATACATATGTTTATGTGTGATCCACACACACAGTACATTCCTCTTTCCACTTCAGGCTGTCTCTAGTCCCTACTTAAAATTGTAAGTGGCAGGCCAGACATGATGGTGCACACATTTAACCCCAGCACTCAGGAGGCAGAGGCTGGCCAATCTCTATGAGTTCCAGGCCAGTCTAGTCTACATAATGTGTTCCAGGGCAGCAGGAACAATCTATATAGTCTATCTATATAGTGAGATCCTGTCTCAAAAAAACAAAAACAAAAACAAAAACAAAACAGAAAGAAAGAAGAGAGAAAATCTTAAGTGGCAGTATATATCCTTCAAGTATCCTTGAAGCTTCTCTTGAGAAGAGCATTCTAAACAGACCATTTATTTGAGGAATCAACTGTTTTCTCTCCAGAGCAATGATAACTGTACACCAGACAGCAAAGAACTGTGATATGGGACCTAGACAAGGCAAACGCCCACTTCAGCTGACAAGCAAAGGTGGAAGGGCTACCGTAGAGGATGGACGTGAGGGTATATATGTATTGTGCAGCCGAATTCTTCTCAGTGCCGCGAGGTGCATCATCCTTTCCTCTCCAGTTTCTTAGTAGATCCTAGAAATAATTATTTAGGCCTCTTTTAAATGTCCTTTTAAATATAGACAGACAGTGATTCTATGTTGAGAAGGTCATACCTTGGATGTGCCTTGTTTTCTCAGAGTCTTTGTACTAGCTGTAGCTTAAATCTGTCTTTTTCCTTTTAATAAAACCCAACTCTGCTTCCCCCCCCCAATTATTTATTTGAGCTGGAAAGATGGTTCATTGGGTAAAAATACTTCCTATGCAAACCTGACCACCTGAGTTCAAAATTAACTTATTAATTAATTAAGTATTTAAGTAATTAATTAAGTGTTTTGGAACCAGGGTCTTTAGCCCTGAGATGTTTTGCCAGCCTCCTCCCCTGCTTCTTTTTTCTGAGATAAGTTTTTGCTAAGTAACCCAGGCAGGCCTTAAACTCATGATGTTCCTGCCTCAGTCAAGTAGCTGGAACTATAAGCTGACACCATTGAGCGACACGTGTGTGTGTGTGTGTGTGTGTGTGTGTGTGTGTGTGTGTGTGTGTAGAATATGTATACATGACTATAGGTGCCTGGAGAGACCAGAAAAGTGCATCAGATCCTCTGGTATTACAGGCAGGTGGTGTGATATTTCTGTCTTCTATTTCTGTAATAAAACACTATGACCAAGGTAACTTATAAAAAGAAAGCATTTAATTTGGACCTTATGATTTCAGAGGGTTAGAGTCTATGATAGCAGAGTGAAGGCATGGCAGAAGGAACAGCTGAGAGCTCCTGTCTTGATCTGCAAGTAAGAGGCAGAGAGAAAGAGAGAGACAGGAAATGGTACAGGTCTTCTGAAGCCTCAAAGCCTAACCATAGTGACACACCTACAGCCACACCTCCCAATCCTTCTCAAATAGTTCCACAAATTGGGTCCAAGTATTCAAATATATGAACTTATGGGGCCATTCTGTTCAAACCACCACATTCTTCCCAGTGTCTCTCTAAGCCTCCTACTTGCAAATCAAGGCAGAAGTCCTCAGCTGTTTCTTGTGCCATGACTTTGCTCTGTCATTATGGACTCTAACCCTCTGAAACCATAAACCCATATTGAGCCCTTTCTTGCCTTGGCCATGGTGTC